TGGCGACTGAGATCCTCGAGACTGAGGATGAGACTAGCTCAGAAGAGCAAGAAGAGGATTCGGTGCAGAAAACGCCAACAGGGGTGCTGTGCGAACAGATAGTTCCACTCCTGCGATATCTGGATCGCAAGACATCCAAATACGCAAGTGCCTTAAAACCGCAGTCTTATGTGGAGACAATCAGGCGAAGGACGAGGAGCAAGGTGGCAAGGTGGGCCTCTAGGTGCGGAGTATATGTGGATAGGAACACCGCCCTCCGACAACACCTGGCGGTCACCCAGAAGCTGTACCAAGCCTTGCAGCAGCAGAAGGAGGATGCGGCGACGAAGAGTCAGGCGGAGGCCGAACTAATACGGGCAAAGATCGAGTCGGAACTGCAGGAGGAGCGGAGACAGAACAAAGTCCTAGCAGCCGAGCTTGCGCGCCAGACGCGCGCCTTAGAGGAAAGTCAAAGAGCCCGCAAGGAGGATGAGGAGTTGTTGTGCAACTTGCAAACCGAGTGCTCGGATTTGAGGGCACAACGTGCGGAATTAGAAATGCAGCTGGCAGAGGTGGAGAGCAGCTGCAGGGCACGAGGAGAGTTGGCGGCACGGGTGACTCGTTGTCTAAACGGATACACCCATTGGGAGGTGGCAGCTCAAGAGAGGGTTACACTCCGGGAGTTCGAGCTTCGGGCGGCGGCCTTGACGGAAGGTGACAGTCGGAGTCGGCGGCGAGTGGCGAGAAAATTAGAAACTTTCTTGTCGGGTGCGCGCGACACTATGGCGCACTTGCAGTCGGAAGTCACTGCAGCGCTCCGACGCCTGGGGTTACGCAGCCGGTCGGAAGACTGGCAAGGTAGAGACAGTAAGCGGAGCAGTCCGGCGCGCAGGAGGCGCAGCACCGGATCTGCTGAGTGCAGTAGAGTAGTTTGGTTTCGCGCAGATGCTGCGAGTGGTAGATAGGATAGCGTAGTGCTAGTTAGGATCTTTTGAGAGTATAAAGTAGATCAAGGCGTTTTGCCTTGGGACTCTTCCAGTTTCGGAAGTGCAGATCAGGAACTCACTTTCTTAGCGTGTTTGTGCATTTTGGTCCTGGCACCACGTAGAGAAGCTGCAGCATAGCGAAGTTACCGTATGTTGTAGTTGAAGGCCTTCGGCTGAATGTTCAGAGCTAGCACCCGGTTAGAGACTTGAGTAGTGCGGATCTGCACCTGCGGGTGATTTCTGATGCTCAGAGCCGGCTGCGAGTTAGAGACTTGAACAGTTCCCCCTTACTCCTTCGAGTGACATATCCTGATTGTACTCCTACGGGAAGTTTCCCCTGAATGCCAATGTGAAGTTTCATTACTTCGTGTAAACCTTGGTTTGTAATTCAGGTTGTGTGTGTGTTACTGGATCGTGTTTTCAGTAAGTTCTCAGTCGGGTCTGCACTCCCTGCGTTTTGTGTGATAGTCGAGGGTGACGTCCACGGCGTACGTAGAGGCTTCGTTCCGAAGTGAGAAGTCCAGTCCGGGTACCCCCGCTAGTTCCTGGCGGAAGGGCAGTAAAAGCCGGAGTGGGAGGCACTTCCTGCAGAACCTCTGAGTGAACTTACGAGACACTTTCCTCCTGAAATCCGGAGCGGAGGTCCTGACCGACCTCCGAGTTGTGCTTTTTGCCAGTTTCAGGTGTGTGTGTGTGTGTGTTGAGTGACCAAGCTGCACCGTGCATCCTCCGAGCATCCTCCGAGTTGAGATCCTCCTCCGAGTCGAGCCTCCGAGTCGAGCACTGCAGTATTTCTGGGAGTGACAGTCGCCTAGAATTCAAACTCTACCAAAAGTCTGTTAAACGTGACACTTTTACTCTGTGTGTTGCCTCTGTCCCTGTGGGTTCGATCTTTTTACCACCATACTGCAGTTTTAGCCTTTGGTGGGTTATTACAGCATAAAACTCCATCACTAAAATTTTTTACGGCAAGAGCATATAAAATCAAGTAAATTTCACTAGACTAAATACAATATTTCACTTTGTAATGCATGAAATTTTATGTTTCTTTACTTACATAACAATTTTTTCATGTATTCTAATCTCAAACATATATTTTTATCCTGTTTTTATATCTTTGATATTAATTTATTATCCATGTCATCTGTTGAAAATTGAGCTGATCAAAAGTTATAAATAGGTAGATTTAGATTCTCACATCCTTGTATTTTATCATCTTAGATCTTGCAAAGATCACAATTAGTACAATATAATTGCTTTTGACATGTTTTTAATTTAAAGGATATTCTTTTATATTTAATTTCATTTTAACTGAATTTGTTAGAAAAAATATAAACCTATCACTGTTGTGTTAGTCTCTACCTGTGGCCATTTATATTATAAATTAAATAATGAATAACTAGATAACTAATACTAAATCTTAGATTTACAAAGGTATTTAACATCAAGTTGAGATTTTATTGATTTCATCAAATTATCAAAGTACTTATCATACTACCTAAAATATTTTATTCCAATTTATACAGGAGATTTTAAATTTGAAGATAAATTTATAACTCATGAAATTTTTTCTTGCAAATTTTAATTTAAAAAAAATTGCAACTTCTATTAGATAGAATGAAGATTGTGTGTGTATATATTTAAATAACATAGTTTGCTTCATGATTATATAAAACACAACTCAATCTTGTGACTTAATTATCAATTCAACAAATAGATCTTTTGTATTTCATCTTTATTGTCTATATGTGTTGTGAATTGTTAGTATCGAAAAAGGATTAAATTTAGTTGAGTTAACCTAGGTCAGTCTGCACTATTGTTAGAGAGTATAGTCGCGTAGAGACTCGAAGAATCTTCAGTTCTTCGAGTCTCTACGCGTGAGACTTTTGCATGGGGAATAGCTTTCAGTATGTCAGCTATGGAGTTAGGTTAGCTTTGGCTGAATTCTTTGAATTGTGGAGTGGACTTGATTAGACTTTTATGTGAGGTTTCACGTTTTATACTTGTGGCATTGGTACAAATATTTAACTCAAAGAACTGAAAGTGGTGATTGCGTAGTACGGGATCGCACGGCAGTGTGTTAATCAATTATGTTGTGTTCTATTCCGTCTCTTTTGTGCTTATGTCTTTGTTTGTATGTTTGGGCGTGAGTGTCTCTTTGCTTGGACGAGACTTTCTAGCACGATTCTAATCAGATATGGTTTGGATGTACCAATTGGCAGTGACATTCTGATGATCAAAAGTTGAAAGTAGATTAGGGCTTTACAACGTCACGTAGTGAATTATGATGTCTCAACGATACGAGGAGTTTGTTTTGTGGCGGGTTGTTTTCGGAGAACCTTATGAGAAATTCGTGAATTTTTTACCAAAAGCAAGAAGCGAGTAATTTTGAGGCTGTTGAAGTTCTCAGATATTACAGACTGCAGTGCTAGAGGAAACAGGTACTAGTATTTTATGAACAAACTTGATGCCGATGGAGAGAAAGCGCAAATTTTCGGAACGAACAGTCGTAAAAGAAGAAGAAGCAGACTCTGCAAACATGCATTTCCAATCTTCTCGGAATTAATCGCAACACAAAGTTGGACAAATTTCGTCACAATCTGTCGTGGGTTTGTTTCTTCGAGAGAAGATCTTTGTAAAATTTGCTGTGTCATATCCATATATATTGTGAATGGTTTGTGTCGGGTTAGGATTAATTCTAGTTAAATTAACCTTAGGTTAATGCCCACTCTTATTGGAGAGTAAAGTCTCTTAAAGACTTAAAGAATCTTAAATTTTTTAACATGTGTGTATATATAAGTTCTTGTTAACTATATATGTATGTGTGAGTATGGCATGTCAACTATGTATAACAATAGATATTCGCATGAAAAATATGTTGTAGAGGTTTTTGTCGTGTATCTATTTATTTTTCACCTCATAAATTGTGAAATTTTTTTTAATTATTAATTCTCAATATCTATATAAAAATATTGAATGAATTTTTTTCTGCACTGTTGTATTTCATGAAAGATTCTCTAATTGTTGCGTCATATTATGATTCATCTTGAAAATTATCATGATAATAACTATTTTCAATAATTTTTGATTCAACAATGCTGTTGTTTATTTTGAAAAATTCCAGTCTAAAATTTTTAATTAACTTAATTTATCAGGGAAAAAAATTTATCACCAATGATATTTAATCTGGATAATTAAGAAAATTTTAATATTTATATCTTTTTGTAAAAATAATAATAAATAATTATTGAATTTAAAAGTAATATTTTGAATATAAAAGTATATTGTTTACATCAAGAGATAAAATGAAATTTGATAATCATTTGAATGTCAAATCAAATGTCATAATACAATTATATTTGAAATTTAATTAAAAAATCAACAAGTATGACCAATCACATCAAATTTTCATCATTATTGGAAAGTCAATTCCAATTGACTTGCTATTCAAAAGAACATATGAGATAAGAGGAGAACGTTGAATCTTGGTGTCAATGTCTAGTGAAAGTAACCTATATTATTGGGGCAGGGGTTTTGCTTTTTCTTTCTTCGAAACAATCTGAAGACGATGTTATTACATATATTTAACGAAGTGAGTCACTATTAGCTCAAAGACCAAAACAATTAAAAACTCAAATTCCCAAAGACTACAAGTCTTAGCAAATATAGAGTATCCACGATCATGAAAATATTCACAAGATTAACTTGATCGCCTTCCCGGGCCTTTAAGCTGCGTAGGGACGACTAAAGAAGGAATGTAAATCTCAATATGCAAATGTCAAGTCAAATTAGTTTGGAGAAAATTGAAGTCTTGAGCATAAGTGGTGTTCAAAGATTTTTCAACGTGAACGAGCATTTGAGTGTCGGTGTTCAGTTTCTGTTTATAGAGGGAATCATCAGACTAAAGTCGTAACGTCTTTATGACTCGTGCTCATCAGATTTGTGGACCCTGGACAAAGGTGACTTTGTATTGATGATAAGTTGAGATGAACTGAAATAATCTGAGGTGCAAGAGTCACGTATGTAAGGTAGCTGTTATAATCCTCTCTTGGATCATTGAGCTTTCCCAGTCTTTACTTCCAACCATCTTCTTGTCGGGAAAGTTTCACACGGAGGAATTCTAGTGCGATGGCTCCACAACACTCGGCATCTACCGTCTTGAGCATCAGATCTGATTTTCGAGAAGGACAGTTTCGTGGGCAGCTGAAGAGCGAACTGGACAGAAACGGCAGCTGCAACAGTTTTCAGAACGTTTACAGAATTCCACATTTCCAGCACAGTTACCCCAAGGCCCAACTAAACCCCTTGACTCCCGAGTACACAGACATTGCTAATGACTGGTTGGTTTCTTTTGGCGTAGATAAGGAGCTGGGTCCAAGTTTATGGACATCGTTTGTGGCGGCCAAATCTCCTGAGCTTATAGGCTATGTGTTCTACAACGATGTAGAGCCAAGAGATTTCCTCTGGCTCTGCAAATTCGTTGCATTCATTTTTGCTTTCGATACGAAGATGGATGAGAGTGATTGGGCAGACGCTGTAGAATTATCCTGTGATATGATTTTAGAGATGAGTTTGCCGTTATTGTGGAATGACCCTGAGAACAAGAGATTACTGGAACGCTTGAACTCCATTTTGGATCGGTTGATGGCCACCGAGGCTTCCAGAGAACGCCTACAGAATCGCACATTTCATGCAGATTTGGTGCATGCCAGGAACGAATCCAAATCACGTAAGTTAATCTTTGGACGCAAAATCTCGACGAATTTTCACCTGTCTTTTGTTCACGTCACCCTTGGAATTGTCCGCTGAGTTTAAGCTGCTATGCTGGCACTTATAGCCACGGGCAATGCGTTGTAAGCATGTTACAGTGGCAAACTAGCCATGGGAGACTGAGTTTGGAGATAGGCCAACTCAGAATCAGGATTCATATATCCACGCTGCGCCGCAGGTCGTTGTATATTTCAATCCACCTTCATTTATTGACTGGATTCTGAATCTGACTAGCTATTGTTTTACTCTCGCAGTTCTCGACGTTAAGATGGGACCTTTGGCGTCGGCATTGCGAGATCTGTGGTTGGAATATATAGAAGCTGTGCCTGCTGAGTTTGCATCTAGGGAGGCTGAGCTTTTTCTAGACATCTTGTCCGCGTGCCTCTGGGAACAAAAGAATCGAAAGACAAGAGAAGAAATCACTATTCCCGATTTCATTACCCTTCGACGATCTGCTGTGTGTGCGTTGCCGTTAGTTGTGAGTTTCAACCAGTATCACGATCCTTTTCTCTTATTCCTCCTTCGGTAGGATGAAAAACACCATTACAGATTTGCTGATTTGTTTTCGTCTTATGCATGTGAACAGGTATGTACCGATCTCATAATTGAGCATAAAAGACAGAACTATGCAATGTCTCATCTTCCCAATAGCATTTTCTATGGAAATAATATGCAGAATCTACTCGCCGCCTCTGCTGACTGCCTTGCGTGGCATAATGACGCCTTCAGCTTCGAGAAGGTAGGCCCAGTGCAGGACACTTCGTATCATTTCTGTCTATCAAACTCACACCTCCGGACCGGGGATTCTTCTAAGTAATATATTCGACGTGACCCATGGCTTGATAATCTTACGTGATGGTCTCTTTACTTCGGGCTTACTAGTCTCTAATTGTCACTTGATTTACAGGAAATATACCGCGATGGCGATTTGCACAATTTAGTGGAAATCGTGTCCCGACATTACAACTGTCATTCGCACACACAAGCAGGAGAACTTGTAATCGAATTACTGCATGACAGAATTGCTGAGATGGAGCTTGCGTACGAAAACCTAAAATCTGAGGCCTCGCCTGAGTCTCACCCCGCAATCGACCGGTACATGAAAACGTGTAGAGATTGGATTGCTGGAACTCACGAGTTCCACATGACTTCCGAGCGGTACAAGAATTCCAATTCTCTATCTGAGATAGAAGAAATCTGAAAAGGTAGAACACAGCATCAGATTCTCAATTACAAGTGTCAGTTACAAGTGTTCAGGCTTGGGTGAAAGTGGGCACGAATATACTTGGTATTAAGTTTGCCTGCAATCGTTAAGCAAGGCTGAATATAAACTAGAGTTGATGTTGCTGAAGCGTTCTCATGGCATGTAGGACTTACTGTGTATGAGCAAGTAGTCAAGGGAAGTTGTATTCAAGGACCTCCAATCTGGATAAATACGATAGTACTTAAAATTCTGGACTGTCTAATGCTTCCATCATACTGCTGCATTTTTTCAAGACTACCAAGTATACCTTCAAAAATATATCAAACTTTTTTCTGTACTTCCCGTGATCCATGAAGTCTACAAGAGGAGTTAGATTAACAATGATATATGATATTTTCTTCACAAGATGACGGGCTAATTTTGAACTTATTCTTTTTTTATCAGGTTAGAAAGATTGGGGCTAACAAACGTGGATGGCAGATGAAAGACGCCCCGAGAACAAATCTTTTTGCACAATTTTTTCGACGAGGTGTGCCATATGTGGAGACACAGATTGCATTTGATGATAGTTCAACTGCTTCCGATACAGTAGTAAGTGCATTATATCATTTCGGAAAGTTGAAATTTGAACATTGTGGTGGATTCAGTGTTTTCACATGCTCGAAAAATTGTTACTGCTAGAAGTTATACGAGTATATTGTGTTTCTGAAGTCGTCTTAGGTTGGAAAATATTTTTTACTAAAGAGTTGGAATTAAATTTTCCAGATTATGGAGCTAGAATATTTTTTAGTTAAGAACCACATATCATTCATCAATTTCTAGTTGGAAAAAGTTGCAAGTCACTAGATATAGTATCCAAAGAAAATCAGATGTTTGATGAAGCCCAGCAATGATTGGTGAAGAGTTTGCTTCCATCTTGGTTAGCGTCGTGATCTTTGGTGAATATTTTGCTTCCAAAGCGGTTAGCTTCGTGATCTCTGTGCACAAAGATGATATTGACGAGAATGATAAAATTTTATCTCGGGGCATGAATCATAATGATATGTTGATGGCATATAAAGAAATATAGGAAATAAAGAATATCAAAACCGAGTGGTAGTGAATCTTACTTGGAAGACTTCTTATGAGTTGTGGCTCTCAGTACAAGTGATTCGTAGGTAAACATAGAGTACTGCTTTGACCAATCCAAATTTTTTAAACATAAAACTGCACTTAATCAACCATGTCCAGTAACAAAACATCTAGTGAAAGCTACTCCAGTCCAGACAATTATTCAGAAAATCTCAGACCAATCAGATACAGCGCGGAACTGGAATCTCATGAAAGTAAATCCCTCTCAAGCAACAAGACATGTATCTGAGTTCAACTAGTTATTAACATCAGACAAGAAACTTCTTACCATGAGAACGTTGTTTCTCGTAAAATTAAAAGAAATAAAAATCTCCACTCAAATAGAAAACAACTTGCAACGAAAAAACTCATGGAAAAGTATTCATGTTTCAAAGTTAGTCTTAACTTAGAATCATACAATAGCGAGCAACAAAAGTTCTCATGGAAATTACCCTACTCCAAGCAAACAGTTGAATGCAAGTTATTGCTGGAGTTCGCCAACAAAGCTCAAGACCAATCACGAGATGGAATGCGGGCCTATGTAATTTTCGGCTTGAATTTTCATATAGACATATTTGAGAGCATCACAAAATTCAACCGAATAAGTTGAATATGTGGAATTGAACAATTAAAGCATGCACTTTGAGTTCTTAATTGATGAAACAGTAAGATACTATGAAATGGTTCAAAACTGCAATCTAGTACAGTATCAACTTCAGCCTACGCCGTATTGTATCTGTAAAATTCATTATTCAAATAGAATGTCTGCAAGTTCTCCATTCATATGCATCTCATATTCCGAATCGGAAATGGAAATCAACGGGACTACAAATCGTAAAGCATCACAAAGGAAGCATAACTCATCACATGATGCATGATTCAATATTATGAAGATCCTAAAAGCTTTGTGATTTATTGATATTGCTGCACGAATAAACATCAGTTGAGTTACGGCGTTCCATGTTCCAGTTCCAGGGCGACAAGTCCTCTAACTATTATCCAGGTTTCTCTCTGCATCCTCTTTCATATTGCGGCGCTCTAGCTAGCTTCAAAGTGGAGGCAGATGATAATGCTCCCGGGTCAAATTCACTCGTCAACTGTACAGCTACATGTTCACAAGTTCCGAACATAACAGAACAGCAGTCAGGTCTTCACGCAGTATGTATTTGGCGTACATACCTATAGACCACTCTAATATATGCAGGGGTTATCAGCACTGCCCTTTATGAATTCTCTGGAAGTACGATCTGATTTACATCCAGCGGAATTAAAGGGTACATTGATGTTCAATATAAGACACCTTGAAATGCACTTTTCACCCGAACCAATCAGAGAAGCTTACATGCAATCAGTATCTCCGCATATGGGGCAGCTTGGTCGAGGATTTTCGCAGCATGTTTCGATCTGCGGGCATCTGTTATCATAGAAGTGTGAAACCTTGTCAGATGCGCTATTCTTTCACCTGACAGCAACACAACGCACTTTGCGTAATAGGAAAGAAAGTTCTTCTGACACTTTCTGAATCATTATTGCAAATTCTGAAAATATTTTCAATCGCCCGAGAAACAAAGAATTGCGACTTACACACAGTCTGTGTCATTGCATATAGAGCATCTCGTTGGAGAAGTTTCGCAGGCCATCCTGTAAGCTGAGATTAAGTACTAGAATAATTGATTTCAAAGAAAGAATTCCGAGGCGATCCACTGTGTTTGGTGTGTAAAATGATGAAACGGCTACCAAGATCAGGCTTCTGAAGGACAATTGGACCCTGATACTATATTGAGTCTGCGGGCGATAAGGAAAACAAGTTTACGAATATCGCAACAGATCTATGCAGAAGAGATGTGCTGTGATTTTAGTTCTCTCAACAGCGTGATTATATACTCGTGGTCTTGCGCGTTGAGGTAGACTTTTCGACCTTGAGCGCTGAATGTTGAGAAAATTGTACTGCTCGTTTATGAAGTAAAAGGTGAAACTTCCAGGAATTGTTCTTGGAAAGTCTCACGTATACAGAAGTAAACCGAGGAACGTCAGCCGAAGTGTTAGTTTACAGCCTCAGATTCATGCAATTTGTCAAGCAGAATGTAAGTCGGAGACCTTTCGAATAGTACTTACGATTTCCCTTTGCAACTGAGTTTCTTTAAAGAAATGCTCCTGAAAGCCTGAAATCTTGTAGCGTTCTGGACCTGAAGCTGACGTGGAAGAGTGTCTATAGCTTTGCATGCCCAGAAGTATTATGAACTGAGGAAGGATCTGGATTGGAGTCTGTACTCCTCGTTGACTTGTGGTTGTGTCGTCTTCACCGTCTATAGAATGTAAAACAGTGCCTGATCATGCATGAAGGGAGGTGCAAGACTTTGAGGTTTGATTTCATAGTTAGTAGGTAATTTTAGCAGATGGACGAAAGTCTTCTAGATTTGGCTTTGGCATTATTCACGTTGTAGGAGCTATAGAAGAAGACACAGCAGATAGGGGTGGGACACAAAGTTTCTTTTCACGACCTGAGCTCCTTTTTGAAAATTGATTTCTGATCTCAATGATCAACCCGTTTCGTGGAGTGTACATAAAATAACAAAAAAGTATATTTACTTTATCTGGGAGTTTGAAACAGTCGCTCCGGTCCAGTAGATGTGAACTCGAGTAAGTTAGACGTGCTTGAGATGGAGGTATCTAGCTCTAATACCACAATTTTAAGCTGTACTATTATCTACAAGTTTATATGCCTCACCCATCATGGACACGTCAGTGCAGACAGAAACATGTGGAGGAATATTCAAATGTAATTATCTTGGTTGTTAGTGTTGAATTGGTTAATACTGCAATTTGTTTCTCTCTGTACTCAGACTGTAGCAGATTTTGTTGTAAATCACCACTTTGATGATACATTATAGGACATTCGCTAACGTTTTGGGATATGAGATGTAGTTTATGCTACTGTTTCTGAATGATTCATCAAGAGCATACACATAAGTCTAGTAGAGTTTGCTTGGGGCATTAAGTGTGATCAAACAGGAACTTCCCTGCTTTGGATGTTGTTGACCGTCATCATTTTTCCAATTAAATATAGATACAATTAAAATTCAACTTTGGTGTCTCAACTCAGAACTAAAAAAGTTTAGGAGAGGAGACATTGAAGTCTCCACTATCATATGCACCGTTCTTGCATTGCATTATCATCCTTGAACTTTGATATTTTGAAGAAAAAATTGTGATGAAAAAGAGTAATAATGCTGAGCTTGTAAATTTCCATACCAGTTATGTATGAATGTATAATATAAATTAGGCTTGATTTGAATGCTAGACAATATTGTGATACAGAGAATAACCTACCAATAGTGATAGGAATTGGTATTAGGTTTGGAAGTCACTATTGGGAGGTGTCATTAACAAGACAAAAGTTTGCTCTCTGACAAGGTTGCACACTTTTGCAAGATAGACTTCATTTGCTATTGTATATTATTCACAGCGATAAACGTTGGTGCTATGAATGGGTTAAAATACACATAATTGCACACATGTGTGTCAATGTAAAGAAGTGTGAGCACGTGTACTTCAAGAAAAACTTGGTGATTTTCAATTTTTTCAATCAAAACGAGCCCATCTATGGGTAAGCAGCATCGGAATATTTGGTTGTAGATCCAAATGTTTAAAAAGTATGGAATGAGATAAAATTTAGCAAGCAGATGGCATTGAAATGAAATTGAGATGATATTAAAAAGGATTCCATATCAACTCGAGTGCAATTTCTTACCAACATTGTGCATCCATGGCATCTACACATTGAGGTCAATGAGCCCATGGTTAACATGACTGGCAAGCTGCTCAAGATCAACGCCCTATTTCTTTGAGACAAAATATTGAATCACTTTGCAAAATGTTTAAAATATCAAATATAGTTCTCTTTAGACATAGACATAATTCTATTCTGTAGCACATAGATATAATGCAACATAAATTTAGACATTTGTTGCATCGAATGGAAGGATATATAAATATTTGAAGCGCTTCTCAACATCCAAGGAAAAAAAATGCAAAGAACATAGTAGATTCAATTTGGCGCCAATGCAAAAACGTTGCATGAATATTGCAAAACACTAATACATGCAACATTGGTATGCATTATCAACATTTATAAGAAGACTTTATAACATCACATAGTATAATTAGAATCATATTGCACAGTCTATTTGGATGGTTTTGGTGTCAT